CAAGTGACGGGCCCTCAGCAGTTGCCCAAAGTCCCCTGCAAACCAGCAACTGACATTACCTCTTGGCAACAGAGGTCCACACACACACACACAAACACAGAGACAAAACCAACCAAATCCACGCACCCACGCGTGCATGCACGCACGCACGCACGCAGCTACACCAGCAGCTACGCACACGCACCAAGAGATTCGACAAGAACAGCAACACTTCAGGATGTGGCCCGTAATACTGCAGCAAGACACCGATGTTGCAGCAGCGACATGGAGTACCGGACCATCTTTGTAGCCCAGTCTGTCAGAGGGATTCGAAGGCTGTGGTAAGGTTTCAATTCCCACCGCCATAAGTGCTCGAACTAGCTACACCAACCTCCAACCCAGTATTTAACTACCCCGAGTGGCCACAAGGGATAAGTCGTGGCAGGCACCTCCGCCCGGCCGTTTTTGTGCCATCGTAGCCTCGCTCTTTTCGGACCGACTTTCGGATTTGCACACAGAACTTTCGAAGAGCAGAATGACGGGTCGAACCAGGCCCAGCGATGCTGGCCCCCTGATGCAAGCCCGGGTACCGAACATCTGCCCGGCCGTCAGCAACGCGCCACGAAGAATGAGAGGGGAACAGCCCCGCCAGTAGTCGCTCAGGTGCACCTGTTCCAAAGGGTCTAGCTGGAGGTGGCTTCAAGCACCGACTCAGATCTCTTTCACGGCGGCCGCGGCTTGATCCGAGACTTGACGACCATCAAAGTCTGAAGCTCAGATCCTATAAACAGCATGGCGGCGCAGGGTAGATCTGCACGGCTGTAGAAGCGCCGTCGGCAGCAAATTGCACTGCGGCCTTGTGGCTTTGCGAAACATTGCAGGCTGCTGGCAGATCATGAACATCACCAGCAGACGCTCTGAGAATTGGAGCCGCGCCGGCTAAACCCCCCGTTCGCAAGTTACAACACGTCGTGTCACGCACATCTTGAACAAAATCGACACAAACGGCTTCTGCACACTTTGACTCTTTCCCGAAGCTCGTTTCGAGACTTCCCTCTCCCTGTCTTTCCCACCCTAGGCCCTGGACTAGACCCCCCAGACGCCTGCATTCGTGTCTTCACAAGCCAGAGAGGGGCCCCGGTGAAGTAGGCAAACGACCTGCGCCACATAAACGGAGGGAAGATGCCGAGGCGATACACAAAACCAGGTCTGGCCCTGACATCAAGCCGGCGCCGATCATGGCTGCACTGGACTTCTGCCCATCGCTCGGCAGCAAAGTCTGCAGGGCATCCTGAGACGAGAGGAGCTCGCAGGGGCTGTCAACTGCAGCTGGTGTCGGCCCCAGGCCTGGATGATAAATATGAGCGAGCGCAGAACTGCAACTGCTACGCACTTCTTGAGACTTCTTCTAAGCCTAAGGGCCATCTTTCGGGCAAGCTGCTCGCGCGGTGGGGTACAGGCCCATTCTGAGCCCTTGGGACACAGCCACGGCGCACCTGAAATCTCTACGACTCTACGAACAGTGGAACCTCAAAACTTATACAAAAAGTCACCAGAAAGGAAAGCCGGACAAAAAGCAACTACTTAACACGACGGAGGACAAAGACGAGAGCTGTCAGCTTTTAACATTCAAAGGTCCGGAACCCGAGTTGATGGCCTCGGGCTGATTCGAGTCCTAGTTCGCCAAGACATTTGGGCCAAACGTGTGGGCCGGCACACGTATTGCACATTAGTAAACTGGAGGACAAATTTTTGGCACGACAGATGATGTTTTCACAATCACAAACGCACGCACAAACAAACGCGCACACACACACACACACTCACTCACTCACACCGGCGGGAGTGCCTCCTTGTCTCTACTATGCGTATGCCCCTAATCTCTTCAAATTGATGTTCTTCGTTGCCACCGAGAAGTCTGCAAGGTGTCGGTACTGCTGTACTGCTTCGGCACATCACAACAACGGCAAAGCTTCGAGACTCGGCTTGTCATCTAGCATGCGGGATGAGGGATTGATCTTCTGCTGCATGCCAGCTGTTGCTGTCTTCCTTCTCGCTACATAGCAAACCCACTAGATGGCCGCCCCAAAATTCAACAATACTCGCTTGCGGGACTCACAGTCTTGCAAAAGACTAAAGATGGACTGGCCCACGCAAACCATGGCACCTGGCCCTACGACGCTCACGATGTGCTCTATTCCGATCTGAAACAAATTCCAAATATGCTGACCTGCTGGTAAAGCCAGCCTGCTGCTCAACATTTTGATGAAGGCAAAACCTTCTTCTAGCCCAGCCGTGTGACAACAGCAGGCACCACACACTGAGCTGTGCACATCTGTGCTTATCAGGCAGAAAGACCCAAAGTAAATGACACCTTGACACCAAAGCCCTCATAGTCGAGAGTTGCCGAAGGGCATGTTGAAAGGAAGCCCCGGTCTCCACAAGCCCTGCCAGAGGCCCTCTTTTCGAAGCAGCTCCTGGAAGCGAAAGGCTTGCAGGAGCTCGTGCGTGAACGCCGCATTATGCCACGCAAGACACCAAAGAAACCAGAGCAATGCCTGGTTTTGACTTCAAGAGCCTACATGAAGGGAGACAATGGGAGACAATGGCCGGGGAATCAACAAGAACCCATTCAGCAAACAAAAGGAGACAAAGGGGGACGACCCTCAGCAGTCTCAAAACAAACGGAGGTGCAAATGCTCAAACCCTGTTTCTGCTGGCTAGCTGCTCTTTTTCAGGTAGTCCTCCTTGGAATCGCTTTTCTATCCTGTATCGACCTCTATCTCATACTTTGCACTCCGCCAAACTCTCTAAACAGTTCTCTAGTCTCTTTCGAGCGGCGTACTCCTTGTCAGTCCTTCACGCACGTTTCGACAGGCTTGCTACTTTTCCTGGTGCATTGCGCTTTGGCAAACTCCCTAGAACAGTCCCGAGTCTCTTTCGAGCATTTTGCTCCTTCTTCTTCATGTTTTATCGATTGCAGTCGACTGGCTTGCTCCTTTTCCTGGCACTTTGTCAAATTCTCCAAAACAATATAGCCTCGTTCGAGCGGCTTGCTCGTGCTTCTCAATGCGCTTTGTAGGCTTCGATCGGCTGCTTTCAATTTCTTCTGTGGTCCAGGTTCTCTAGTCTAAACTCTTTCAAGTGGTTTGCTCCTGCTTCTCAAACTGTCTTGTCCCTTTCGACGGGTTTGTTGTTCTTTGTCACATTCGCCCTCTTGTCAAACTCGAGCATCTATTTCCAGCAGCTGGCTGCTATGAGAATCTAACCCCTTTCGACCGGTTTGAACCTGTTTCGCAACTTCTCTGCGCTATCTTGCGAACGTTCTCGGCATCGTTCTCATTTTTTTGATCTTTTTCGAGCGTTTCTGAGGTCGCACTGAAGCGGCTTGCTCCTCTTGCCGAGGCTCTCTCATATTTTTCGAGCTACTAATGTTTCTTAGTTGTTTGTCCCCTTCCATTGGTTTGTGTCTCTTCTCAAATGCTGCCTCACAACTTGTCCAGTGCGTTTCGACGCCTTTGCAAGTTCTCCCTTAGTGAAACATTCTGGGCTTGTTTCTGGTTCAAAGAGACATTCTAGTCTCATCACGTTCGACTAATTCACCCCGCTTTCTCAGATTCTCCCTTTATTATCCAAACTAGGAAAACCTTTCGCACACTTTGCTCCTGCTTCTTTCAATTTTCTTGTGACAATCGAGGTATTTTCTCCTCTTTCTCAACCTCCCCCTCTTTGTCAAGGTTTGCTACTGTTTCTCGCTTTTTCTACTCTCTTTCCGACTCCGCGCTCATCTTCCTCACCTTTGCACTTCGTCAAACTAGCCAAAAATGTCTCCTTTCAGGGTTTAGGGTTTAGGGCCTAGGGTTTAGAGTCAACTGGTTAGTTCCTCGTCCTCAAATTCTCATCTTTTTCCAAATTCTCCCAGCCCTGTCGAGGGTGGTTTCGTTTCTCCAAGTTCGAGTCCCTTTCGAGCGATTCGCTCGTGTTTCTCACCTCGTCCAATCCCTCTTCAGCTCTCCTCTTAGTCATGCTGTACAATGCATGCTCGAGACCCAGCCCCGCCATTGCATAGCCAAGGTGCTGCAGTGAACTTGGCGAAAGTGGTCTCATCGACTGAGACTTGCCAGCGTATTCGGAGGCAGTCGACGGGATTGAAGATCGCCTTGGCTACATTTCAACTGCAAACTTCGCCACAGGCGCTGGGAGTTCTGTGGAAGACCCTCCTCTTGTTCAGGCCTTGTTTCAACCGTGCCCTCCACCCAACTTGCATAGTTGCTGGCTGCACCCAGCCAGCCATGGCCGCCGCCAATGTGTTGCGGCCAATGTCGTCCGGGGCCATGGGCGCGAATACGACGTTTTCTAAGAGATGCACTTTAGAGGGGACGAGGTCTACGTGACTTTCGAGTTTACCTTGGAAAGGCGTGGTGAGGAAGGCTCCGGGATTGCAACACGAACCGCACAGGCTCGACGCCTTTAAGAAGCAACAGATCGGCCGCTGCAATTTGGGCGAGCATGTCCATGACTTAGCGTCGGGCCTCACTAGTTGGTCGGGCTCTCGCCTTTTCTGTGATGAAGCATTCAAGCTATGAAGTGTCAGGTGCCTCACTCTAAGCATCTCTAGCTTATCCTGTCACCTGGGTCCTCAGCTAATTACTCCTGGAGCGTTGGGGCACAGGACATTTCTTGTCAGCCGCCGTCTTGTGCGGCAGCGTGGCATCGTTAACCGTAGACAAACTGGCTAAAGGCACAAGGGTGCACCATCTTCCCTGAGCCCGAAAGCTCGAGAAGCTCCGTCCAGTCTACACCCGGGAAGTATCATCCCAGGAGCTCTCATTGAGGAGCCGATCCTGAGGCACTGGTTCGCGGGACTCGCGGTTGCCAGGTCAAGAATCTGGGAACTGATGCCTTCAATCGATACTGCTGCGGACAGCATCAATAGTTACATATGACTTGTGAGAATGGGGCCATCAGACCTTCTAGTCTCCCCCCTGTCCTCCAACTCCATATGTTACCATCTCTCATTGAAACCCGTCCTGCACCCGGTCGCGGCGAACTTGAGCCTGGGGATGGAGAAGCCGAAGTTTCAAGTCAGCTATGCTTTGATGCAGGATGGAGGCTCTAGACACGCTCGTCCCCCTTCCGCTAAGCACGCCTCTGAGGCCTCAAAGAAACGTTTTGAGAGAACTCCACTAGTTCGGGGCTTCTCCGAAACACGAACCCATGCATGGCCACTCAGAGCCTCCAAACGCCTGAGCCGGATGTGCCCGTGGAGTGTGCACTCCGCCCCATCGGAGGATCGGAGTGGAAAGGGGCCCTCCACAAAGCCGCCTGTAGGATGCAGATCTCTGTCACATCGCTGAACCATGCTAAGCCCTCGGCCGCAGGCCTCTTTCGACCACAGCATCCAGGTTTGTCTCGAATCGCGCTGTGCTGGACCCATCCTCTCCTCCAAACACAGGGCATGGGCTTGTACTCACCTCCGTTACCTCGAAAGCAAGCAAGGCCGCACGCACTCTGCAGCACAGGGATAACTGGCTTACGAAGGTTCTCACAACTTCAGAGGCAAGGAAGTCCAGGAAGATAAGCATTACGGGTCTTCGAGCGAAACCCGTGTCCCACAAGCTCGATCATCAGTTGGTCTGCCGGCTTAGCTCGCAGATGGCAAACCTTGGATTGCAGAGCAGGCTTGCGGTCATGAAACACAGCTACTAGGTTACTAGGTTAGTTCGACGATGAATTGGAGAACCAACTCTTCAAGGCAGACCAGGCGATGGTCACGCGCAGCTCCTTCAAGATCTGCGGCCCGACACACGATGCAGCGTCTCAAGTTGGAGCGAGGTGTTGGATGTAGGGTTCGGCGCTTGCCGTAATTCACTGCAGAGGACAGATTGCTCTCCTCTCCTATGCATCACGAGGTTCCTTTGATAACAGTGATTGGAAGGTTGCCGACATTCAGCAACAACCCGACAAAAGTGCTACCAGAACCGGGACCCTGCTAATAGTCGTTGATAGTCCTGACGCGAGCAAAAAAATGTGTATCCTGTCCCTGCATCTCCAACTCATCGGACTTGCAAACTGAAGCCGAGGGACGTAATCGAAATGTGGGTTCCTTACCATGCTCAGGCTCAGCGGGTTCACAGCTTTAGGTGCGAGCCAACCAGGTTTTTTGTTGGAAGGGCCTGGGCTGTAGCGATTTCATGGCTAGGAGCAATGTAGAGCATTCACGGCCTCAAAGGCTTGGAGTTCGCTTCAAAGTGAAGCTCAATCTGGCCGCGTTCAGAATCGTGACAATCTCCAGTAAACGATGGCAAACATGACCCTGGTCTCCCACCTGGGCTTACTTGAAATCTCAAAACCTCTCGCATGCAAATCCAAGCTGCCTGATCGCCGCTCGGTCCTGCGCAGCTTGGCGAGCGCGCTCGCACCAACTGCGATCCCAGCCTTCCAGATCGCGTTCCACGATCTAAATGAGACCATGAATTCACGTCACAGGCAGGGTGGTGGATTGCGGAGCTGGGGATTGAACCAGAGTACTTTGCTTAGCTGTGGGTGCCGTGCTTCCGTTTGCAGACGTGATGGTTCAATACCTCCGGGTTTGGGAATGACCTGTCTTGGCTTGGGGGGCAGCATTCGAACTCTCTGACTCCTGACGAAACCACCCTCTGCCGCACGCGCACATGAGCCCGCTGTGATCTGGAAGCCCTCGTGCAAACAGGCAGTAAGGCTCACCGCATCCGAGGAAATGTTGCCTTGCAGGCCAGGTGTGGCCAGCTCCTGGGCTCATGAGCCGGTGGGCATGCTTCGGGAGCCGACTGGGTTTGGGCTCCGCCAGGCAACTCCTAACAGAGTCAGGCATCCCGCAACAGCGTCGACAATTGACCATGCACAGGCCTAGCTAGAACAATCATTCCACGTAACAACAATGGAGCAAAGAGTGAACACGAACCCGTGCTGTGACACACTGCTGCAGATGAGGGAAATGAGAGTTCAGAATTGGAATTGTATCGATGCATCACTCCGGATCATATACCGACTTTCTCGAAACTGCCGTCCATGCACGCACTTCTGTGACCTTTGCATTTGCTGTTCACTGGCTTGTCGCACAGTCGCGACCTTTGACCGACTCCCGCACAAGCCAGAGAACACCGTACAGTGTGTGCCAAAAGCAAACAAGCTTCTTAGAGTATGAAATGCTGTCCAACCCACTCGGGCGTGGACCCTCCCTGCCAAGAGCCCTTCCTCGGTCCGAGACCTAGAGGCCTAGAGAGGCCTAGAGAGACAAGCGACGCCGCTTCGGCGACGGCGCTCCACCTCCCGAGCAAAGTCTCGAGCGTGGTCCACGGGGACCCCGAGGACCTCAGCTCGCAAGCACCCGGTAGGCTCGGTAAAACGGCCAAGGCAGCCAAGGTAGAATGTCATGTCGAGCAAAACTTCAGATACCAGACCCTACAACCCAAGCCTGTCCCAACCTGTTGAGGTTGGGGGGGGCGGGGGTTCTATGTACCTTATACCTTTGATTGCGCAAAATCACAGCTCGCAGTGATTCCGCAATTGATACTTGCATTGTGGTATTCATCGATTCCGCCCATTTCCACCGAGCCACATGCGAGAAGTCCGCCAGTGGCAGCTTTCCACACAGCTTCCGAGCGAGCTCCAGAAGCCTCGCACGGAGCAGGGCCGGGCAACGGAAACAAGCCCTCCTCTGGTGCACATGAGGCTAGAACGAAAGAGGTGCAATGAGGTGGGATGGGGTCCATACTGTTCTGAACCTCTCGGCCCTAGCTAATGGCCCTTATATACCCCTTGATGAACTCTACAAGTGACGCCGTAAATCAAGAATTCTGAAAAGCGGAACACCAACACCTGCTCCATTGCTGTTTCAACCACATGGGCATGTGCAATAGATCTCACAATAGCTGTCGGCAAGTCCTGGAACAAGGCTCTGCTCATAGCCGGTGAACGTTGGATGAGGGCTCGCCCTGTACCAAACCAATGACAACTTCCTAACAAGCTTGACCGGTAGCCTGGCTCTGGATGCCATGTCAAAGAAGTGGCCAACCCGGCAACGATGATGACCGTGCCAACCCACATCGTCATGACTGCTCCAAAGTCCGGGCAGCTTTGTTCAGACAAGAGACACATCGTCTGCAATCTGATGGACCAGCTCAGGCGGGGCCTCCCCGACCTCCTGAAGGCAAAACAGGGAAGCATGTGGCGGCTCAACATCCACTGCTCGGGGAATCTCACATTAGCCCGGCTTCGCAATAATCGCTCCTGGTTTAGGCCTTCTCACTCCAAGCCGAGCGTCTGTGAACTGGTCCTCTGCGCCGAGTCTCACGTGGACTTTGTGCTTCCTGTCCAATGATGAGAGAAGGCTTCTGCGCTTTGGGTGGCCCTGCTGCATTGAATCTCGGTTGTAGGTTTGTTGCCGGGACTTGGAGCGTTGAGGGCACCCGTGCGCCACAATCCGACGTCGTCGAGGTTTCGTTTCACGGCACGAATCACAGGTAGAAATGCAACAAGCAAGGCACCCATCACTGGGCTTCCCAGGCCTCTCCGACAGGACATTCGACACTCTGTGCACATGGATGGACGCGAGGAGGGACTTCTCTGCAGGCGCGGGGCCTCGGGTAGAGAGGGCCGGCATGAGCCTCGTGCCCTGGAGCATCCCTGACATCGCTGGCCCTCGGCTCTCTCGGTGCCGTGCCAGGAAGAAGGGAGCCATGGGCGGAAGCTGTGGCCGGTGGCTCCTGTGCTCCAAGCGGGGAGGCTCCGGCTTTGCCGCTTGCATCAACCTGCAGGCCTATGCGACCCCCATGGCTCCTCCTTGAGCGGGGACCAAAGGAGCTCTAACTCAACGGAGCGTGTCTCAGCTGTGTCCTGGTGTGAATGCGTAGGAACAGGGTAACCGTGTGTAAGGATTACACTGGCCTCGCTTGATCTGAGCCTGTTGTTCTTCAAACTGCAAGTGGCCGCATACCGTCCACGATGCACCTGCCTCCGTCCCGGCATCCACCAGGGGCACCTGTTGGGGTCTTCGGCCCCTTTCAACAGGAAGTTGCTGTACTTTACAGAACCCAGCAGGAGGCACACATTCTGCCACACAAGCTCTGCAACTCCGTCTTCCTGTGTCGCGACTCCGGCCTCTACCCGGCCAGCTTCGAGGTCGTGGATGAAGACCCGCGCAGTTCCCAGCAGCACCTGGTGGCGGCCGGGCGGGTGTCACGGCACCTGCCTTGCTTTGCAGGCGCCTGCTGGGTGCTCTTGGGGCAGCAATATGCACACAGAACTCTGGATCCAACTGCAATTGGGCCGTTAGACAAAAAACACTTGAAGTCGAAGATGCTGCTCCGAAGCTGCCACTGGAGTAGAGCCGCAACCGGATGGACTGGTCTTGGGAGTGCACAGCGAAGTCCTGCGATGCTCGAGCCATTTCTTGAAATGCTGGTCATGATTCGCATCTACCAGACAGGTGAGGCTGGACGTATATCCTCGAGGACTTTCCCTCGCCTCCTTTCCCATCGTTGTCGGGTCTTCTTCTGATGGATGTTGCTGCCTTCGTGCTTGCAGATCTTAGCCATCTTTGCCATTACTGCAAACATTCACATACTCGTGTCCGCGAGCTGCAACAACTCGATTTAGTTCCACAAGGATCAACTGAACGGACACCTGCACGGCTGTCTAGTTCTTTAGTATCAGTGCCAGCCCCATTCAATATGGAACCCACACAAAACTTCGACAAAGTCCTCGGCAGCATCGTCCGGCCACTCCGCGTGGTTGGGGTCTGGCCGAGTCCGGCTGATTGAACTCTTCCAGGAGCTGCAGCCGATCATCGCCTGTGGAGCTGCAAACTTCGGACTGTGGCAGTTTCGCTGTTCCTTGCAGTCGTTGTCATTGAAGTGCTTGTCGGCGTCATGTTCGTCGCTATCATCCTACTACCACCAACGCCACCACGAATGAATACCCCCTTCACCACTGCCAAGAAAACTCGCACCACAGCAGCTACCACTACCACCGCCGCCGCCGCCACCACCACTGCCAAAACCACCACAACGACTGTTACGAATAGTGACTACTGTCACTGCTAGTGTTACTGCCACTGTCACTACTGCTACTGCTGCTGCTCTGTGTCTGCTACTTTTACTACTGCACTGCTTCTGCAACTGCTGCTGCTGTTACTACTGCTGCCACCTCTACCACTGCATCACCGCCATCGGCACCACCATCACCACCATCACCCATGCTGCCATCAGCACCTCAAGTCCCACACCGATGCCCCCCACCACGACTAAGAGGTACGGTTGCTGCCCAGCACAACTCCCTCAAAACCTCTGTAGCACCCCTCAAGCGTCGCTGCGAACCTCGAGGTACAGGGAACCGGGCAGTGCAGAGGTGGAGCTGACACCCTCCAAGCGCACCTAAGCAAGGGAGTCAGGAAAGACAAGGTTTATCACTTGTCGGCCTGTTTTCATGCACATGGGGATGCCGCCGACAGTGGGAAGCCAACGTCTGGGAGTTCAGGAGCTGCTGCGGACGGTTCGGAGCGACCCGTACTTCTATTCATGGCTCATCTTCTGTCAGGTTGCTCGCAGGAAGCCCAGCGGCGGTGGATGTCGGATGGCACATGCATCGGTGGTGGGACCAAACGTGTCCTCTGCGGACATCAATCATGCTCCTGCTTACTACAAAGCAAGACCGTCTGTCTTGCATGTCACGAAATCCATGCCACGCAAATGGAAAGGCTCCAGAGTCAAAGAATCAATGCATGGAGCAGGTTGGGCCACTAATACATTCAGCTTTCAACACCCGACCCCGGGCCAGCGGCACCGCGATGACATTTGGGACCACGAGCAGACTTGCAACCACGTCGTCAACGGTGTCTCGCACGAAGTTGTACAGGTTTGGGATCAGCTCGGAACCTCGACTGAGGAGAGTGTCACGGCGGTATTTCTGGTGTCGGTGGTCTTGGCAATCGGCTGTTGGTGCTCTTGGTGCTCTTGGTGCTCTTGGTGGGGTTGGTGGGGTTGGTGGTGTTGGTGGTGTTGGTGGTGTTGGTGGTGTTGGTGGTGTTGGTGGTGTTGGTGGTGTTGGTGGTGTTGGTGGTGTTGGTGGTGGTGGTGTTGGTGGTGTTGGTGGTGTTGGTGGTGTTGCGGTAGCGGGCTGGTGGTGGTGGGGGTTGCGCAGCGCCGATGACTGCATCAGAGAGTGCAATCACAACAACAATGAATTCCGGCAACGGCGAGGGAAATGGGGAGCAGGAGGAGGAGGAGGAAGACGACGACGACGACGGCGGGGATGACTTCCACCCCCTTTCTCCATCAGAGCGGTCATCGGCAGCAGCAGCACCGCCACCCAACGATTCCGACGTGTGCTCTCAGCTTGCATGCCGAACATACCATGCGAAGTGCAGCGTCACCACTACAATCCGATATCATCAAAGTTGTCATCTTACAGCCATGGTCTCCTTCGCCGACCACAGCGGCAGCAGCAGCAGGAGCAGGACCAGGAGCAGCAGCAGCAGCAGCAGCAGCAGCGGCGTGAGCGGAAGCAGCAGCGGCTGCTAAGCGGCAGCAGCAGCAGCAGCAGCAGCAGCAGTAGATGTTACTGTCAATGTTGTAATGGAAACAGTCCTCGTAACAGAACGAGCATTAGAACGAGTCGCACCAGTTGCTGCAGTGTTTTCGTTGGTTGTGAAATGTCTAGGCATTCAGCCTCGGTATTTTCGTTGGCTTTCAAGCTGTGAGGGTTTTAAGGAGGGTTGCTTGGGGGTGGGGGGGGGTCGGTGGGAGGATTCACACCCACATGTTCGTCAACCTCAAACTCACTGAAGCGCAGCGAAGCACCAGCTTTGATTGTCAAGTCGATCGTGGGCCTGTCCTAAGGAGTTACTAGCCCAGTCTAATAGACGACTGAGCCGTGGGAGCATCGGTCTCGTGCCTTTAACACGACAGACTCGGGCTGCAGCACACACTTCATGGCAACATTGAACATGGTGTCAACCACTCAAGTCACTGCAAGCTTCTCTGCAGATATTGTACAAGCTGCCTAAGGTCTCTGCCCTCACGACCTTTATACACCCTGTCACTGCAAGGCACGTTTGGCTCTCAAAGCCCCGAGTCAGCCCGAGACCAGAACAAACCGAGGTTCCAGGCAGGTGATGCTGATCCCGCCCACCGGGTTCAGAGAGTCGACCAATGGATGGAGACAAACACGAAGGGTGCCCTCAGTTTGGGGATCTGAGGGTGCAATTTGGACTGGGTCCTGGGCAAAGAAGGCTTTTGGGGTGCAGCGTCGCGGCCATGCTACCCTCATCGCTCGAAACGTTCGCTTCACGGACTCTTCACGGCAGAGCAACCTCAACACTCAACAGAACCCCGCTCCGCCTGCACGGTGATGTTGCTCACCTGGATAGAAGCAGGACCTCAAGGCCGACACAGTTCCGAGCCGTGCAATATGACGACCAAAGTCTGTGGTTTTGGGGCATCTAAAGATCCGAGAACACACGTTCCTAGAATGCACAACCCGCCTGCACGCAACACTTTTCCAGAACAAAACTGCGGTATTCGCTGGCGTTCCACTATCTTATCTTGCGGGCGTTCACGTCGTACACATGCGTATGCTCACAGGCTCCCCTAGTTTTCTCGCTGTCCAATCCTGACTGCTGCACTGGCTTTCTTCCTCCTTTGATCCGACTCAGTAATTTTTGTCGCTTTCAACTGCTCGAGCAAACTGCTGGAATGGGATGCAGGGGCAGCAACCGAGATGGGAGTTAGCAGCGGCTACCGACAAGCAACGGACAACAGCAAGTCAAATAGGAGCAGCCAGTCTCTGAAACGAAAGCAAGCAGCAGCATCCCTAAAGCCTAAACCTCCAACTTCCCGAGCCCAAAGGTCCGGCCTGTCGAAAACTCGATGAGGCCATTGCCCTCCAAGCAGAAGCCCACATTAACTTCCAGGCCATCCTTGGACCTGGTCCTGAGAAGACCAGGTCACTCCTTCCTACACTGTCATACAGGGCAAGGGTTGCATTCTTGAAGTCTTCCCGCTTCGCGTTGCACGTATCCCTGCTGCCAGGCTTCACACGCACAGGCCCAAAACGAGGAGCAGCGCGACCCAGAGAGATCTGGGTAAAGGAGATGTAAGTTCCTGTCAGCTCTGAACCAAGTCATGACAAGCTACCTTACGGGCTTACGGAAACCGCACTGGGTAGCTAGAAACAAAGCTTTATTCAGACGCTCTGAGGCATAGAATCCTCAAGACAGCCATACAGTTTCCCCCACGGAACCAAGCAGTCATGACACGAGGAAGTCAGAACCCATCGTGCCAGCTCGGCCGTCTGCTCTCTGTCTCATATGGGCCAATCCAAGAAGTTCCCCTGGTCCATAGATCCCTACTACAAGCCTTGTACGTCGTGCCGAACAACTCAGCCCCTGCAAGCACCCGCAACACGCTGACTCTTGCATGCCGTCAGCACCCGGGGCCTACCACCCCCAGGCGCTTCTGCAATGCAGGCTGGACCTCATCCTCAGTCTTGCTTGCGGCTGGGATTTGCCTCTTAAATTCAGGATCTGTCTGAAAATACCGAAAAACTTTCGATAGAGGCTTGGAGCTACAGATGCTGTCTGGCAGGTGAGGCTTCCGTGGTCTTCAACGGCCGACACTGTCAGGCTGCTACGGGAGGTGCCTTAGAACCATGAGGCAGGGCTGGATTTCTCGAGAGGGCTGCAAATCAAGAACTCTGACTAGTCAAGAGCTTCTCCCAGCACACCAGCTAAGGCACTTCGATGAGACGTCGGAAGCCTGGATCGGAGCTGCATTTCTCGCGAGTGGATATGTAGAACCCTCACTGCACAGCCGTGCGACCTGAGGCACAGGTTCAAGAGGCCAGGGTTGAAGGAACCCGAAAAAAGAACACACACCCAGCACACCGCACAGGCACCTGCATCCAGGTGCTCCCAGATGGGGACGATAGCCGCATTCAACCTCAAACTTGATTTGCACCAAGACCGGGTGGGGACGGGCTGAAACAGAAGCTGAACATCAAGCGACAGCTCCTGCAAAGCTCGAGCAGACTAGCAGATTCTCCAATGTAATGTTGCATGTCCCCTCTTCTCTAAACCAGAACCCCGGTCCTTTGAGCAACATCCCCCCGACACCCTGAGCTCGATTAGCAAAGGATCCACTCCACTTCGTCGCCCGAAGACAGCACGTCGCCACCGAAACCGTGCCGATCCTTCGACTACCCATGTCAATGTCAGAGTTAATGCCATGTTTGCCCGGCGGCCTGTCCTTTGCCTGCTTGCCGTTGGCCGTGGCATGTGTATGTGTGTGTGTGTGTCGGTCGCCGTGTCAGGATGTTATCATCTTGGTCTTTCTTTGTCTTGCAACTACCGTCAACAGGCGTCAACAGGCTGCCATCCTGAAATTCAGCGTCCGAAACGGCTCTTGAACTCTTTACGACTTTATCGCCCTGAGCCCACTGTGGGAAATCCTAAATCAAGCTCCAGGCTTGAAGCGGCTCGCCTTCGTGGTTTGATGGAGCGTGAGACCTGTCGCCCCGGTGGCGACAGCTCCAAGAGCGATCTTCTGCGTGCCTCGAGGCTTCGTTTCTCAACGGGCTTTCGCGTGAAACAGCGACTGACGTTTAAAGCGATGTGACGTGTTTTCTTCCGGTCATCTTTACCGACCGTCAGGCCCCCCCCCCCCCCCCCCCC